AACAGAACTCTCATTTTTCGAATAAGTGAGTAATTGCGTCTTTGAAGATTTTTATTTACTCTGAAATTCAAAAACCGAAACAGCCCATTGTTACAGACTAGAAAAGTTGATTAATGCTCTGGTAGAAATGACCAAAGTGTAATTGGTCACTTAACAACCCGGACTGGGCATTTTAGAGAAACAGTTTGAACCATTCGCAGTTCTTTGCTAATTTGTCTGATCAAAGTGCTGTGATGTTTACTACTTCCACTACCAATCATGTTTGCAAAATTATCTCATTAACAACTGAACGTACACCGATACGTCGGTATCCTTGGCCATTTGATTCCTGCGTTAACAGATAAAAATTACTAATTAATTTGTAGCTAAATTAGTTAAAACAAATGCAAAATCGATTTGCTTCAGTGGGGGCAACTAGATTTCAGGAATTTGAGTGTTTTAGTTAGGAAATAGTTAGGAATTATTCAAAAGTTACTGTTCTGGTTCTTTTATTCAACGTAACATGCAACTCGTATTTATGATGAATTAAATAGATTCTCAGAATCTTGATTTGATTGGAGGAGATCGCTGTGGAATATCGTCAAATGACAACTCCAGTAAAAGGGGCATATATTGTTATATTCACATATATATTCATATATATTCACAATTATACTTCTAATCGCTATCCGTTCTCCTAATTTATAATCAACAATAATTATTCGGTTTTTCTCAGTAGACAATGGTAACCACCAGCAATGTTAACCTTCTTTGAAGCATTTCCAAACCAAACTTTCTTATTTTTCTTCATTAACCGATTTTTTTTTCAGCTCATTGATGGGCCATACATAGCTTAACTTTACGATAAGTTTATTGCAAAAGACAACGAAAGACAAGCAGTTCTTGATAATGATGAAGTTCTTTGTTTTGTGCTGTTTGGCATAGACGAATATTTCTGATAGTGACTTTGTTGATTTACGTAAAATTACTTGTTGTCTTTGATAACGAACAATTACTGGAGAATACGGAGAGTCTTCACGATACAGTAAATCCATCATTTATCAATGAACAAGAATATGTGATAATATGTGGTCCAAGTAGTTTCGTATTGCTCATAAATTCACATATATTCTGTAGTCGACTGTTTAACCTTCAATCATCCCATTGTCTTATTGTGCGGAAAATTCGAGATACTGTAAAGATTAAATCATCGACTGAACCTTTGCAACCTATCACTTTCTTTCGTGGGATAGTTCAAAAGCTGATTATTTGGCAATCTATAAATTTTGTGCCGATGATAGATGCAATAATCATTTATGAACTTCAGCTTTGTGTTAGTGTATATGAATTATTTTTGATTTCAATGAGAGCTGGACAAATATACTTGAAGACGTAATTTAAATATTTAAATTAGAGTCGCTGACTGCCCAAACAGAAAGATGGAGGTAAGTATGCAAGAACTCAGAATTATGTCGTAAATGAAGCACTATAAGATTTGAACTTAAAATACCACTTATTTTGCCTAGATATCTATATTATGCAAAATATGACAATATTTGTTTTTCAATCGTACTTATTTATTGTCACGAAGTTCAAAAAGTTTTCCTTTTCTTCAAAGAATTGAAGTTTTAAATTTCGAATTTCTAATTTCTATTATCATATATTTTTGATTTCCCTCTGTTTCGCTACTTTTTTTCCAACTAAAATTAATTTTTCTATTAAAAGCAAGATACATCCCACTCTCGGGAAAGCTATTCTGTTGAACTCATTTCTCGGTGATACAGATGTATTCGGGAGGTAAAATTGTTCTTGCACAATACTACTAGTTAACAACAAGAAAAAGAGTATAAAATATGTATGTATATAACACGATGAATTGGTAAGCAATGATAAATGAGTTATACAAAAAGCAAGTAATATGATCAACTAACAAACTCCTTATCGTTGCCTTGGACAATAATTTGACTGCTGGTTAGTTGATAGGTCGTTGAGTTGGGAATATGTTACAGGGAAATGTATTTCTAGCGAATAGAAGAAAATCGTAGTTTGTTGTCTAATGGTGGTGGATATGCGAAGCTATCGTTGTTTGTGGTCAAATCATGAAGAATAGGCGAAAAGGATGTGTCGTCTACTCGGTTGTAAAAACTGCCCTCATTGGGATTTTTTTTCATATATATATAAGGATTAGGGAGGAGCTTTGTAAGCTCCACCGCGGCTATCATGGGTATGGCTAGCCTTCGGCACTGTCTATTGTGTAGGTACTGAGATTGAGACGGTTTTGCTTTACGCTGTCCAGTGTTAGCTTATGTCCTCTTCATTGCTTTAATTTTACTTATAAGATTTCGTCACCCCATTTGTTGGATATTGTGGAAATTTTGTTTGG